AATCCCCCCACCCGATTTTCCCCAATTGGTAGGTATAATATTATATTTTGGTGTAGAGGAAAATCTCGCAGGGGAGGCAGCCGCCTCCCCTGCCTCCCCCGTGCGCACGCTTATGATTGTAGTCTTCTCGGTTCTTTCCCGCGCTAAACAGTTTTTGCAATGTTACGTACTTGTAAGACGGAGACAACACATCCGGGTGTAGCGTCCTCTTAATAATACTTTTATTTAAATTCTGATTTTTAGAATTTTTAAGCATAGCTCTTGATATTTTTTGTGCTAGGTACTTGAAGAGTGTTCTATACAAACTTCTATCTTTCAAATGTGAATCCACCTTTTTTACTGTTAACTATTTAGTGTGTAATTTTCTTGAAAATTTTGATGTATCTAAATAAAAATTCTAATTAGTAGTTTTTGAGTTAGTAAAATGTTTTTATTAATTATGATAATCCTTAAATATAATTTTACAAAAAATATAAGCTATATAATATTTGATGCTGTACTAGCAGTATTCATTATACTTAGATCATTTTAATAAATTATTTATATTGATAAATTAATAGTAATTAATAACATTTTAAAATCATCAAAGCCCTCATCATATCTACTTACACATTATCGTAGCGGCGTAGAAATATGTATATACTATAATGTACAAAGTTATAGAACTCAAATACCTACTACTTGTTCGAGTTTTGATTTAGATACATGMAAATTCTCAAAAAAAGATATTATTTGACTAACAATTTAAAGTGAAAAAGTGAGGCTTCTATTTGAAAAACAGAAGTTTATATTATAAGATCATCCTTAAGTGGTATACAAAATCTCAAATATATTTGAAATTATGGTTTTCAAGTGTGTTTAAGAATTTCAAAATCAGAATTTTAATATAATGTAAAAAATTAAGCATAAAAATAGAGTGAGTGTGTATAAAAAATGCACTCGGTTTATTGGTAAATTTGTATTAGATACTTAATAATTTATTTTATTATTTATAAATTCAAAATATGAAATTATCATTAAATGTATTAACACATACCCCAGGAGATCAATTCAAAATTGTAGTTAATATATACAGCAAGAATTCAATATAATTATATTTTCTTCTCCTTGTTGGTTACGCTTTTTTTTAAATTTTATAAAATAATGAATAAAAATAAGTTG